CCCCTTACTCCCACCCCCCCCAACTCCCCACCCCCTTACCATGCTGCTCAGAGCACCAGGACTGGCAACCATGCCTCCCGGCTGGAGCCAGCCATGCCACCACGCAGTCTAGAGCACCGGGGTAGGCCGGCGGCTCTCGCAGCTGCACTGCCTGGCAGGAGCTTGCAGCCCCGCTGCCCAGAGTGCTGGCAGCATGGTGAGCTGAGGCTGCGGGGGCTGGGGGGGGGCAGCAGGGGAGGGGCTGGGGGCTAGTCTCCCCGGCCAGGAGGCTGGGTAGGACAGTCCTGCGGACCGGATGTGGCCCACAGGCCATAGTTTTCCCACCTCTGCCTTAGACTAATAATCCACCGTGGGGTTTGTGTGTGTCTCCCCTAATCAGGATGAATTAGCAAGATTTGACTGTATTCACTACATAAAGACTGAGTTTAAGTGATTTACAAGCTCCCCCCGTGAAGCTGGCAGAACTTGTCAATTTTTTGAAGTGGACCAGGACTGCAGCTAGGGCTCCGAAATGACCCTTCAGCTTAAAGTTTCCCTTAAACTCACCTTTCATCTGTGAGGGACCGCCATAAAGCACAGTAGCTAATAGTCTGCTTTATTGGTGCCTGAAAAACAGCATAGGGAAATTTTATGTTCATGTTTGAGATGGGGACTTTAAAACTACTAGTATCACAGGTGCTAGAACTAGTGGTGCCGCACCCCCTGGCTTGAAGTGGTTTCCATTATATATAGGGTTTACAGTTTGGTTCAATGGCTCTCAGCACTCCCACTATACAAATTGTTCCAGCGCCCCTGACTAGTATAATTTTCTTCAAACTTGGCTTGTTGCATGGATGGCAGGGAAATTTAGAAATCAAGCCAAATTCAAAGTTTCTAGCCAAATCTATGCAATAGTTACTTGAATGCAAAATTCTGATTGGAGTATCTGGGTAAAGTACTTTTCCAGTGGTCCGATAAATCAAATACCTGAAACAATTATGCTCAGTCTTCACCTTTGGGCTGAGACCAAGCATAGAATTTGTGAAGGTTGATAAGGAACTGAGAAAGAGGGATAGGACTGCAAGTTAGAACCAGTCTTAATTCTAGCAGATGCAACCTGACGTGCTATAATGAATATATAGATGTCCTCTCTCCCTTGGTGAAGAAAGTCCCTCGGTGTGAATCATCCACCTTTCCTTGCCAATTGAATGGATAAAGGTTACATTTGTCATCTATTACATTTTACTTATGTCTTTTATTATATTCTTATTTTGGAGGGAAGTTCCTTAGTGCAGTGAGTAACCACTTGCTTTGTCTGTGTTTAATAACTGTTCACTGATGCTAGTTCCATACTCTCCACCCCGTTCTCCCTAGTACGGGTCTGATCGGTTTTCTCTTCATGCTGCGTGCCTTGGTAGCAGCAAACTTCAACACCATCTACATTTACACAGCAGAGGTAGGTCCTTCTGAAAGTTCCTCATTAAGCTGCTCTTGCCAGAAGCTGCAAATGGGTGATGGGAATTACCTGTTTTGTTCATTTCCTCTGAAGCACCTAGCATTGGCCACTAATGGAAGACAGGATACTGGGCTAGATGAACCATTGATCTGATCCTGTATGGCTATTCTTATTAAGTGTATTAAATGAATAAAAGCACATTTGCCTATTCTCAGGAATTTTCCCATGTTACTCGGCTGTGGCAAAGTTACTGTAACTATATGATTATCTAGGAGTCTGCTTTACTATCTCTGTACCATTAATAATTCTGTATATCACAATTGTGCTTATAAGAATGCACCTGCAGTGCATAAATATATTAACCTTTTGGTGGTTTAGAATTGTGGGAGTCCATTATTGGATATGGATGTGTCAAAAACCACTAACCTGAGAGCGTTTAACAAAAAGGGACAATGAAGCCCATCCAATGCCTGGAAAATGCTTCTTGAGACTGCTCCCCTCGCCGAAGGAAAGCAGTTGGGGGAATCCTTCTCTTGGAGTGGCTTAGTGAGACTGAAACCCCTCTTGGTCCTTCTACAAACATATTTCTAACCAATAAACTACTCAGCCCCCGCCACGTTATGCTTTAACATATGCCTATGTGCTTTGCTGAAACAGGGCCTAGGCGCGGCAAAAAGTATAATCCTTGGAGTCTTGGCGGTTCTTTTTAGGGTGCTTCTTGTCTAATACATGAGTAAGGATTCAAAGCCCTGGACACTACTTTTCCCTTTCTGCCAGATATGGAGCGTGGCCATGGAAGCATCCCCAATATCTCTGTTCTGCAACCCTGACCTTGAGCAACCACCTCTAAGGCTAAGGGATTAGTTTAGTGTCTGCTCCAGCTTTAATTAGACTAACCCAGTGGTTCTCAACCTATTTACCACTGTGAGCTGCATTCAATACGAATTGTATGGCCCCGAGGATATCACATGGGCTGCAGCTGTGTGCTGATTGGGCTGCAAGCGGCTCATGAGCTGAGAACCACTGGACTAACCTAAACTGATTCAATAGGGGAGAGAGAGAGTTGGGAGCCTTACTGCCCTTTGAAAATCTCCCCCTACAGCTGTCCTTTCTTGTGCAGTGAGCCTCCATGAACCAGTGGCATGCCATAATTCTTTCTGGTACTGAATTAAGCCCTTTGTCTTGCTATAGGTTTACCCTACCACAATACGAGCTCTGGGAATGGGGACAAGTGGTTCACTATGTCGGATTGGAGCTATGGTGGCACCATTTATAGCACAAGTAAGATGCTTTTCCTGTTATCATCCTGGTATGAGGTGGCGGTTGTCAGTGATGGGGTATGGAAAAAAAAAGCCCTAGGCTGGTATTTCTTCAGCTACCTTGGAAGAGCTTTCAGCACTGGCCTTTGTTTTTGTGGGCACAGTTCTGGTTTTTGGTAAACTCTATGCCCAGTGTTGCCCTCAGATGCACCCACAGATCTCCTGGAATTGCATAGGTCCGTGCACACACGTGTACATACTGACCTTTGTTTTTGCCAAGACATTAGGTCTTTGATATTTATGTGGAAACTAGGATTTGATATGTGGTCATAGCCAACAATAGACCCACATCAGTCGTGGCTCATGACTTTGACAGGTGAGAGACAAATCACAAAATGGTTACATTCCCCCAGTGTATAATTTAATAGCTATTAAAAGCTTATCTTATTTATAATGTAGTAGCAGCAGGAGGACTTGGGAGCTGGAGCTGCTACTCGGGCCACAATGGGAGGTGGAGCATGAGGGGGGGCCTGGGAGTGGACAACAGCTGTTGGTATACATGCATAGTTCCCTTGGGGCTGTGGACGCACAGGCCCCAACCCTGCCCCCTGCACCTCTCCTTGAGCCTGGCCTCAACTGCTATCATTCCCCAGCTGTGGCCTCTCCAAGCAGTGGTTACCACAGCAATTCTGATAAAATGACTCTTATGCTCAGTAAATTGTCATGGTAACAAGGCAGCTTCTTGAGGCACCGTTCACTATCCCAACATTTGAGCCTCAGGCAGCACCACGTTCGTCAAACTTTCTAGTGGTGTGTTTCGCTACGAGTGGATTGTGACATTTATAGCAAATCATAATTTGTCCTTAAAGCTGTATATATTTATCAGTTACATGAAAAAGAATATGCAAAAATGTATTGTGTAGCTTTTGGGAATTCTTGGGTAGCCTGTGGCTCATGTTGCTGGGTGGCCAAGCTGCTCCTGACCTGTATAAAGCTCTCTGTACAGAATGAAACTGGTTAGCATGTGTTACACTTTTTGGAAGCTGTTAGAACAGCTTGTTTTCTTGGCTATCATTGAATCCTTTAGTCTCTTGTCCATTTCAGGTCTTGATTCCTAACATGCCCCCTGACACTAATCTTGTATTGGCAGCATTGAGCTGATGCTTGAATTGTTTGTTTGTAGGTTCTCATGAGTGCTTCGTTCCTCGGGGCCCTGTGCCTTTTCTCAGGCATGTGTGTGGTGTGTGCCATCTCTGCCTTCACTTTGCCCATAGAGACCAAAGGAAGGGCGCTCCAGGTGTGTAATAGCTCATTTCTGACACAACTACAGCTTTGTCCACATGAGAAAATGATATTGATTTAACTAAATCAGTTTAGAGGCTCCTAAAATCATCATCATCTCCCTATAAAGCATGCAAACCAAAAGAAGTGTCTTTACACACACAGGTTGGACTGCTCTACCTAAACCCTTGTCTCTACTACAAATGCTTTTCCCTTATAGCTATACTGGCATAGCTTGGCTGCCAGAGCACTGTCACCATAGCTCTTGCCAACTGAAGTGTTTTTTCTCTTGGCAGAATACCACCACCCTCCCAAAAAATCCAGTTTCAGACAAGGACTTAAGGTTGGTTGTTTAATCTGCCTCTGTGGTAAAAGGCAGCTCTGTGCAGGCTAGCATACTCTTTAAACCCTGAAATGGTTGGTATTGCAATAATCAAACAAAAACACTCCAATAAATTGCATTACATGTAAGAGAAAAGCTTTGATCTATCTATAATTGACTTGACCTTATCTAATGGTGACCTAGATAAATGGGAGTTTAACTGACTGTTTAATGAGGTGGGCTCTCTTCCTTGAAACTGGACTGCATTCTTGTGAGCTAATATCACAGCTGAGGTTTCAATAGACATCCTTTTTGCAGACCCTGATTCTGCTACCCGTTATACTTTTCACAAAGGATTAGTCCAATGGAGGTTAATTGGAATAATCAACTATGCAAAGTTTAGCCTTTAGTTTCAGCAGGGAGGATGCCAATGCTTATGCATGTGTAACTTTGATGTTAATAGGAATAATCAAGTATGCAATGGGATTACTTCTGTTTATAAAGTTACTCATGGCTGCAGAATCTGGCCTAATGAATGCATTGCCCCTCACTCTCTGATAGTACGGATGGGGGCCAGATAAGAACCGAGATTGTAAGCACACAATGACATTTAATCCCAAGAGTCAAGTTTTCAGGTGGCAATGTCTACACTGTGCCTTCCAAATCTGCTTTGTAGTGGTGGTGCACTGTAGGCAGCTATATTTCAAGAGTAATTTTAAAAGCCAGCTCCGTGTTATTTGAAAGAGATATAGGCTGAAAATATCCAGCCTCTGCATCAGATTCTAATCTTAGAACAATCTCAGAATAGCGTATGGGTCGTGCAGATACAAGGCAGGATTTTTGGACACACAAAAATGTATCTGAGAGCAAAACCTGCTCCTGGTCCATATGCCCCCATTCTTTGTTTGACTCTGCATTTTTATCTTTCCATTTTTTAGCAAATGAAATGAATGAAGACACCCAAAGTTGGTTCTTGTGGGAGAGAAAGGAACCTTTCAGCAGTTGCTGGAAAGAGGCGGTATAATCACTGTTGAAGAGCATACAAGCTACATGCTATCTACAGACTGCATTTGGAAAAACTCTTTCCTGTGATTCAATAAATAGATTTCTCCTTCACCCCTGAAGCCTCTTTACTATTCTCAGTATTAGTCCTATGCCACAAGATGGCTACTAAAATACATGGGTCCTAGTCCCCTCTTGGATTAACGGGTGTTGGACAAATTGGGATGGTGGTGTCATACCTGCGTTACAGCTGGACTAATGGTGAGGGTGTTTTTCCTTCAGGCGTGGATTATGGTTTTTGCCATGGCAATGTGGCTTACAGTATGTACATACTAATCAAATACAACAGCCCTTCTTCGAGGAACGAATACCCCCATCACTGAGACTGACACACAAAGGCACGTTTCACCTACCTCACCTTGCCCTCAGAATGAGGCTTTCGGGTGATTGTTCTGGCCCTTACACTGTTCTCAGGACTAGAGTTGGCTGCAATTTTTCCATTAGGAGAGAGAGAAGCTGCCAGCTTCTATCAGCAACCAGGGATACTAGCACAAAGCTAGGTCTCCCCACTTTAAAAAAAAAAAAAAAAAATCTTCCACTAATGGATATTTCTGTAAGACTGGAAATTTGTACAGAAACCACTTAAAACAGCAAATACAAAATAGAGTTCTATACAGAAGTTGGGTGAAGAGGGCAGCTTTTCAGATCAGGCCCCCAGAATCTGCATAACTGTGGTGAGTTTGTATGCTGGATCTCTGAAAACTATAGTGGTTTTTAAAAATTCCAAAATCATTCATCTTTTCGAAAAATTAAAGCTTCCATTGGGCTGCCACAGTCTGTGGTAGACTGAGGCTAATGGACACATTCAGCGTAACAGCAATGCTTTAGAATTATTTTAATCGTCAGTGTGTATGGGAGTATTCCTCTTCCTATGTAAATGCAGTATTTATCAAAGGGATAGGCTAGGGTTCAGTTAATGAAACACTGGGCTCAGGCAGGAGTCTTCATTTCTAATCCTGCCTCTGGCACAGAGCTGCTGACTCCTTGGGAGAGTTACTTCACCTCTTCCCCCCCTCCCATGGTCCATCTCAAAGTGTGGAGAGGAGACTGACAATTAGGTGTTAGAGATGAGTAAGCTACTATTACATTGCCAGCAGATACTGGCCCCACTATGGAAATACAATCTTGAGCTGATGCATCATGATATGAGGGAAGTACTCCTTGCCTTAGTAGTACTATTGCACATGCAGAATTTAAGCAGAAATTAATTTTTTTTTGCACAGAATTTTCTTTTCCTCCACAGAGGCTGCTGGACCTGACAGCACAGCTTGCAACTAGAAGACACTGCCAGGGGAAAGGACTGGGAGCTGGGGGGTTCCCTGCAGCTGCAATTCTCAGAATGCCCTGAGGAAAGGATAGACTAATAGCCCAGCTTCTCTAGTGTGTACCTGTAGAGTGCTGTCTTGGCCTTCCAGCATAACCTCTCTCCTGAGGCAAGTTGTGTTTTGCAGCCACTTGACCAAACAGCAACCACAGGGCAGGGGCCTAGCCGCAAGCACTAATTGTTTCAATACAGCTGCATATAAGTGTATACATCTAGGACCAAAGAACATACTTACATGCTGGGGAACTTAATCCTAGGAAACGGACTCTGAAATGAGCTGGGGTTGGTGATGAATAATCAGCTGAGTATCCATGAACTCTCAGTGCAACACTGTAGCCAAAAGAGCTAATGTGATGCTGGCTACATAAACACGGGAATAGAGAGGCTATTTTACCTCTACATTTAGCACTGGTGCAACCATTGCTGGAATACTATGTCCAATTCTGGTGTCTACAATTCAAGAAGGATGTTGACAATTGGAGAGGTTTAAAGAATCACGTAAATGATTAAAGGGTTAGAAAACAGACTTAAGGAACTCACTCACTAAGTAAAATAGATATGGCTTAGGGATGACTTCATTACTATATTTGTTCCCCATTCAGAGACTGTAATGGGCTGTTCAGCCCAGCAGAGAAAGGTATAACATACTCTAATAGGAGGACGATGAAGCTAGACAAATGCAGCCTGGGAGTAAGGTGTACATTTTTAACAGTGGGTAATCTATCAAGGGTCATAGTAGATTCTCCATCACTGTACCATTTTAAAATCAACATTGGCTGTTTCTCTAAAAGATCTGGACTATGAATTAATTTAAGGAAGTTCTATGACCGGTGTTATACTGGAAGTCTGAACACAATGGTCTCTTCTGGCCTTGAACATTAATAATCTCCTCCCCGCTTCCCCAGTCCATCCTTTGCCCTCCATGGTGGCACCAATTTTCAATGAAATTAACAAGGGCACGAAGGGTGAGTTGACTGATGTACAGTCATGAAACCTCCACGCATCTGAAGAAGTGGGTTTTTTACCCATGCAAGCTTATGTCCAAATAAATCTGTTAGTCTTTAAGGTGCCACCGGACTCCTTGTTGTTTTTGTGGATACAGACTAACACGGCTACCCCTCTGATACTTGTAAATTTAAAATCATTGATAATTCACTCAAATCAGCCCTCGCCAGACTCCTTTGTGATTGCAGCAGCCCTACACTCCACTCTGGAGAACCAAAAGTAAAAGTAACAAAACAGGCAACTATTAAACCTAAACTAATTTTAGGACAGTTTTTCTGTAGGTAATTTCCTAGATTTTTAAAAATAGTTAAATGTTTACTTTTAGCAACCCCCCTCATGTATTAGGAGGGTTTAGAACCCCCAGCAATAGAATACATACTGCTACTACTACTTGGGCTCTAGGGTACCTCAGGTGACAGCAGCAGAAGGCTCTTATTCCAGAGGGGAGGTGACCCTGCCTCTGCCCTTTTTCCTTCTCACTTCATCCCTGCTGCATATCAAGAGCCTGCTACAAACTTCCTAATATTTTATAATGAAAAATGGCAGGTAACCTAAGAGAAAGGGGCACTACCAGCCACCCTTCTACTAAGGCAAATACTACTTATCTTGCTATAATGCCCACCTTTAGTCGGTTTCTTCCCCTCACTCCAGAGCAGTGCCACCACGTAGTCATCAATGTTTGTGGCCAGCCTCTAAACTTCTGTGGTAACAACTATCTTGTACACTGGAGCAGCAACCTATCTGTGCTATACAGAACATCACATCTGTTTGCTTACCTGCAGTATTGGTGTAGACAGCTACCATAGTGCTCCACAAATGGGAATAGTTTGGATAAAGCTGCGCTTCTGAAGTTCAGTTTCCACATAAGACCAAGCTGAATTAGGGCTTCTAACTGGCCTGTGGAGCACTCACAGATAGGTGCCTTTGAAAGAAAATTGTACTTAGGTAGGTGGTGCTTTGAAAATAACTGCTTGAGAAGGGAGCATGGGTTGACATATTTCACAAACAGTGCAACAAGAGGGCTAGTGAGGTAAATGGCATGGAGAAGGAGGAGAGCTGAACAACAGTGTCTCATGCTTTCCAACTTGAAGTATTGTTATAGTGATGACTCAATCATCCAGGAGCTATCACCACGACCACCTCTATGAAAGGAATGAGAAATGCAAGACTGCATTCCAAAGATGACATTTTCAGAAGTTCAATAAATTGTCTAACCAACTCTAGGTACAAGTAATCATTCCTTCCTTGCAACTATGCCATTAACTTCCATTAGCACATGTACATTGAATCTGTCTTATCTTGTTTAGAGGACATTTCAGAGACATTTTAGTGCATCTCATTGCAGTAATGCATACTGACCAAGAGAAATCCAACTGCTGGGATGAAAGGAACAACCTTCCTCACCTATAAAAACACCCCAAACAAATCCCTGATTTTTTAAGTAGATTTTAATACAGCCCTCCCTTTACATTTTAAATCACCAGTAACTTCTTTAGGGGGGCAACTACACTTCCATTGTACCAGTCATTCTCCTAGGACAACAAAATTACACCATGTGCTTTCATGGCTTGGGGTTAAGTACAGTACAAAACAAATTATGGCCAGCCACATGCCTTTGGTAAAATTAATGTCTGGTGATAATACATTTTCTTGAAACTGAGAAAGTCACACATTGAATTCATGTAACATTTTAAAGTTTAATTCTGTACAAATTCTTTTCTTTAAATGAATTTGAGCAGCTGTTATTCCAGATCGCTGTTTTAATGACGTTCCACAAGTAGGATGCAAGGACTGAACTTCAGAGAACAGTCTCTCCAAATGCCTTGATCCCTGGTAGATTTCTGTTTTAGGGGAAGGGTATAAAGTCTAGTAAACATCCACAAATGTACAGGTCAAAGTGGTCATGACTTTTCCTCTTGACAACTGACAGTTGATAAATATTTGTCTAGTTTTAAAAAATTCATTCCAGTACATGCGACTCATTCATTTAAGCAACTGGCGCTCCTCTCCTTTGAGGCGTTTTTTCCTGGGCTGTACAAAATCATCATCAGAGTCATCACTAGATTCTGGATTCTCTCTCTCACTCCGACAGTAGGGTTGTATAGGGAATTCTCTCTCCGGATAAAGGGTCTTTAGGAGTTCTTCAAAGTAGGCTTCAAGTTTCATGCCAGCATCAGCCACTTCTGAATCAGGCTGTTGGGTGAGTTTACAATAATCAGTGCATCATAAAATAGTTGGACACTTATAGCACCCAAAGAATCTCAAAGTGCAAACCGCTAAAATCAACTAGCAATAAGACACAGACATCTCTGGGACATGGTTGGCAAACAACCAGCACACAGAACTCTGCAAAAATCAGTGCTAGAGGGGAAATTTTGGCCAAGAACACCACAACTAATTCCTTCTCTTACAAAACTGACATAAAATCTAATGTTCAAGATGGACAGGATCATTGGTTTAAGATCTCCACTGAAAGACCCACTTAAGAGATCATACATGATATAAAGTTTATCCACTTCAGAAATGGAAGGATTTGGTCAACTGTGCCACTAAGAAGACAGAGTATTTTGTACCAGATGCTTTGACTGCTATGCCATTTTTCTGGCCAGTGGAATTTTTTTCCCGCCTCTCTCACACACACACAGCAGAATATAAAATGTTACTAACATAGATGATTATACCTTAGCACACTAACCAGCCCCAAGGTGTTTCACATCAGCAGCCCTGGCCAGTTTCCTGGTTTAAGCAGAGGCTAATAGCTAAAGCCAGTTCTAGTCAGGTCTTCCCTCCTTCCTGCT